AAACAAATCTCAATACAGTTTTGAACAACCCGAAGATTTTTCTATCAGATGAGATGCATATCGAGATTCTATAATACAAATATTGTATGCAGCAGAAGATTTTTGTTAGCTCTTTCCGTAATTAAATGATAAAAATCGTGATTTCTTGTTTCATCACATAAGTTTTATTCGGTAAACTGATGAAAATAAAAGAATTGGGGTGACGACATTTAAGTTCATGATGAATCCTCATCATTATTACTTTCGGAAGAGTTATATCCAAGTGAAATTTGTTCGATCGAATCGATAATTCGTTGTCTTCCTTGCGACAGTTTGAAGTCGTGGTGACGGGCATATCCCAAAAACCAAATTATCGTTGCTATGTGAGCGCAGCAGCCCACAACCCGCGCTCCGCTTCTGCATTGACAATACCAAGCCGTTACTGGGTCTCCAGTGAACGAAAATTGAATCCAACTGTAATATTTAACTGAATTCATGTGTCGACTTTTGATGACACAGCGTAGAATATTGTTTGTTTCTGCTGTGACTTGAATACATTTGTCCCCGTGTGTTTCTAGATCAGACGTGGGAAAGACGAACGCGATTAGTAAACAACTTACGGACGATTCGTATTCGGCTGGAATTTTGCTTCCCATCTCCGAGGGTCCAAATGGCATGACCTTCCCAATCTAATTAATCTTTGATCTTGTTTTACTATATTCTTTGATTCATGATATCTTTTATCCACGAAACTGGCTAGACGATTTGAAATGATCGGATTTCTTTTTACAGTGTTCCATAGTAGATATCTTGGCTTCAGTTTCAAGATCAGGATACATGTCAAAAAACGAATCAAACTTTTTAGCACCTAAAGCGTGAAAAAAGTAAATTTCTACAGTTCTCAAGCAAGAAAATTCTGAAAAATTTTGATTGGTAATGACAAACTAACTTCGTTCATCAGAACAAAATTCTTTGATATCAGCGCTAAGAAAAATTTCTGATCATGTGTGGAATGTTTTACATGTCGTAGCTCCTATTTGACTAAAATATTCTTCCCAGAAAAATTTTAAAATGAGATATAACACGACACTGATGTTTCTTGGTTCCAATTTTTCTTTGCAGACTTCAAAAAGATCTCCAACATCTGATAATCGAATTTGTTCAATAAAATCTAAACTATCATCATCACTCATACCCATAAAATATTCTTCATCACTCGATGGTTTATTTGTGTTCGTCAAATTTTCACGAGACCATCGACTAATATTTCCACTTTTACACACACTTTTACAGTGTGAAACCGTTTTGGAACCTTTCGGCATTTTTGATCCAGCTAAATGTTTTTGTAAGAAAAGGAACAATTAAAAAACATTTTCTGAAAGACAAAACTAAGCGCATGCAATGAGAAAACTAACAAGTTTGCCATATGTATAACCCACTAGCTGGAAACGCCTACCACAGAATTCGAAACTATTCCTTCTTTCCGTTTTCGAAAACACTATTCTCTAATATTATACATCAACATTTAACATTATAATATCAAACTAAGTTATTACGTACTACTTAACAAGCTCGTTAACATCGATTTATCGTGATCGAGTTAATAAATCGTATAAACCTCAGCCAACAACCATTAGACATCATGTTGGACCCGTTATACGATCTAAAACCGGTAAGCTGTCATCCTCTATCATAAAAATAGATCAGGATGAAATTAAAGATCTCATTTCAATGCATGTTAATACGTTCGATGATATATATAAAGCGCAGCACACTATTAAGTTGGGGGTGGCTTTTTAAATATGACGTTATATTCAAAGAATGTTCTTCTTCCTCTCTCTGCCATGCATATAAAAGAAAGCAAAAACATTATACGACAGTGTTCACTGTTATTGTTACGAATAAAGTTTGAAAATAACCGTCTAAAGTAGAAATATCACTAAGAAAATGCTTAAATCAGTCAAATCAGCTGCAATTATTTTACAATTATGACAACAGTTGTCACGAACAATAACTAACTTGCCTGCTTTCAATCTGCTTTCAAATTAAGAGATCAATAGCCATGTTGTGAAGCGTGTTTACTAGAGAGGAGATAAAAACTTGCCCTGCTGCTGATTGTTAGCCAAGAGTTGGGAATATCGTCTTTTATCCTACACCAAAACTTATAGTAAACATTGATTTAGAAATATTTGTCACATGTAGTTTTTTTTGTATAAAATTGGATCGAACTCTAACTGAGCGAAAGAACCCGAGAGTTGCTCTTATTTCTCAATTTATGGAAGATACTAACAGACATGAGATTTTTATTTTTCATTTTTTTGTATAAATAAGTGAATAAAAGAAAACATTTTTTGCACTACATACAATTACTAATTAAACATCTTCGCTTGATATCACAGCCGAAGTTAAGAACAGACTTGTGTGAATCAGCATTTTTCATATTAAGCGGAAACTATCACATTTAACTTGTTCAAACGCATTAGTACGGAGAAAAAAAACGGAACTGAGACAGTGCATGATTTTTCGACTACTTTGGATCAGTAATCTCTAGTGGTTGCGGCTGTGACATCAGGCGAAGATGATTTTGGAGTGTCTAAATTTAGTAAGGTGCAGGCAATTAAAAAATCGAGCAGGATTTGTTTTTCGTCAAATTTAAACTTAAAATGACATGAAAATTCTTGAAACACATATAGAACCTAGAAATGGGTCCAGTTCATCATGTAAACCTGTCTAGTTTTGTTAGTTCAAAGACTACGTGTTCTTTCCTATTTCATAGAGTTACTACCATTGTACAAGATGAAACCGCGCCCCAAGTTTCAACCCTAGTATGAGTATTGTATGTAGTGCTAGTAATTTTCATCTCGTAGATATTTCTTTCGTGTATCGGTCTTTTTGCTTGTAGGATCCCTTTAAGCCACGACCATCGATTTTCGTCCATTAAGTTGACTTTATGTACTAGATAAAGACAAAGTGGCTACGTTTATTTAACTAAGGAGAAGAGTAAAAAATCTAGTTACTTTTTATCGTAAAAGTCAAGTTTGTTGATCAGAATGATTACATCAGAATGACGTAAATATAATAAATAAAAAGTCATAAATCAGGAGTGTTTATTTCGAAACTTTCTCCTAAGAAACTGTATTAAATCTTCTATTTTAGTACTACTCAACTAGAGTGTTTACAAAGCAAAGTAAAAAGTGTTTTCTTTTATTCACTTATTTATACAAAAAAATGAAAAATAAAAATCTCATGTCTGTTCGTATCTTCCATAAATTGAGAAATAAGAGCAACTCTCGTGTTCTTTCGCTCACGTCAGTTAGAGTTCGATCCAGTTTTATACAAAAACTACATATAAAAAGTATTTCTAGATCAATGTTTATCATAAATTAAAGTTCTAATAGTTTACGTTTCTCAGCAGACTTCACTTACAAATCACAATCATTATCTTGTTCTAGATGCGTATTTGTTGCAAATGAAGAAGAATATTGGACTGGAGATAACGGCAACGTTTGAGTTTGAGCAGTATCATTGGCACTATTAATATCTGTTAGCGAGTTCGTGAAAAGATTGTCGCCTTTTGTATACTTTTCTATTTCATTTCTTCTTCCTTGAAAATCTCTGACAATATACTTTTCAGCTTCTTGTCTTAACCACAGTTTGTTTGTATGTGATTTCAGTATTAGTCTTACGATCACTACGCCTAAGATAATTCCAACAAATATTCCAATAAAAGCAAATACTAATACAATACCCACCACTATAGCAACCAATCCACGAGCGTTTCTACTGTTACTATTAGATCTGTAAGAACTAGAACGAGTAGAGCGATGGTTATTTCTATTATTACCATAATCATTTCTCAATGCACAACAAACAACTATCAAGCTAACGAGGCCTAACAAGGCCAGAAATAATATAAAACCGCTCACATAGTAAATCATTAATGCATTCATAGAACTTGGAAATAACTGTTTAATATGATTACCAGTCTTATCAACAAACTTTGTTAAAAATGCTAGTGTAACAATAATCGCTTGTACTGGTAAAAATAGAAGTGTTATATCACGGATAACTAATAAACGATACTTTCGTAACCTTTTTCTTTCATCTTCCGAACTATCTGTGATTGATTCAATAACATATTCGAATTGACAAACACTACAAAATTTAAAAGCTTTTCCACCTATGTTTTCCGCCCGCCAGTCATTTAAACAATTTCTATGAATATAAGCTGAACCACCTTTGCATAAACACGGACTAATGATATCATCAGGATTATCTGTAAACATATCCTACATTGTTTCGAATCATTGTGTGCATGCGATTGCTCACATTCGTGTATGGTAGACATAGTTCAACTTGACTAAAATGCTGAAACAAACAAATAAAGTTTAGACGTCTTGCAAATTTCTTCTTAACATGATAGCAGTGCTGAAAAACAGCTACGCGATGTTATGGTCTTTTGAGCACCGTATTGAGACGTAGCCAGTTAGAAAACTGATACGTTTACAATGGATTTTATGTTTTTACAAATTGCTCCAGAAAGATAGTTTAGGGTCATTGATAGTCTGAATGGGGCTTTCGAATGAAGGAAAAGTGAATCAAGTGTTTCAGATGAATTGGTAGCCGCGGATTCACAGTGTGCCTTGTATTCGATAAAAATAGAAATATCTGTAATATCACACGTGTGCGTATTCATGTTGACTAGTATCCGTACCAAAATATAATGCAGGTTGCCGTTTCTTTAATAACTCGAAGATGATGATAGATAGAGAGTTGCGGTTTTCACTAATGGAAAGAGGACTATTTTCCCAATCTTTTCACAAGCGAAAATCGGGGTCGAAAAAATTTCGAAGATAGGTTTTTCAGCGGATCTTTGGAAAACCTCTTCATATCTCTGGAACCTCACGTAATGATATACCGATTTTTTTCATAGATATATAGCCCAACATG